TTTGGATTTGATCTTCTGCTACGGAATGAAACTAAAGAGAGAGAGAGAGAGAGAGAGAGAGAGAGAGAGAGAGAGGACGAAGATAAGAAAACGGGAAAAAAGAGCAAAAGTGAGAGGGAAAGGAATGAGAGAAGGCTACTTTTCACCTGCGAATGGTAGCTATTTTGTTTCTGTGAAGTTAGAGCCGAGACGGTTAGAGCAGAGCAGAGAACAGAGTGTGAACTCTTTTTTTTTGTTTCTGTTATTGTCGTACGGATACCTCTTTGAGGGGTTGTGCCACGTGTAGACCACACACGGGGTTGAGATCTTTGGGTAAAACCACTCGCGGTGCTCACCATTGAATACTGAAATCTGTTGGAAGATCTCGTAATCCCTGACATCTCCTAACGAGATCTTGCACGAAATCTTGAATACTCTTCTTTTTTTCGCAGCGCCTACTTCCTCACAACTCATTGGCAATCTTGAATACAGATCGGGTTGGCCTTGGACTTCGACGAACACCATTTTGAGAATAGAGAAGAAGAAGAAGAAGAATAATAATAATTAGAATTTCAGGTTCTGAATCGGCTAGGTTTCTTGGACTCAAAATTGCTCTCTGCTTTTATCTCTCCTTTATATAGTCGAACAACTTGTGGTTGTCACGTGCCACGTCTTTTTTGCAACGTGCCATGTCCCTAACCCCATATTCTGCCATGTCATTCTTCTTCTCCTTCTTTGTTTCTTTTTTTTTGCTTTTTCTTTTTTTTAATCCACAACCTTCTCCTTCTTTCTTATTATTTCTTTTTAATCCTTTTAATAGAGAATCAAATTACCAACTCATTGTAGAGTTACGGTTATATCAGAAAGAAACATAAATTTCCAAATCACACTACTTTATATTATTATATTACAATCTGAACATACAGTATGTCTTGAAATAATATGAACAAATTAATCACATTTATTTAACCTATCTTGGTTGATGCTACAAAAGTACAAAACGAGGATTGCTCCATATACAGACAGACATACATAATAACCATCCAAAATCTAAACTGAATTTTATGTATGACGTCACTTGGGATCTTAAATGTGAAATATGAGTTTCCCTTTGCCATCTTACTCTAGTTGTGCAAACTGTGAATCTGGGATATACTACGAAACCAACTTGGTTATATGTTATTATCATTAAAATATTTTGCGTAAATGACAGACATTTGGATGTTCTCGTCAGTTTTGGTGCCGGTTAAGTCACTAGAACCAATCTGAAAATACCATAAAATGAACAAGACACATCATCTATTACAAACACACCTCACATTAAAGGGATGTTTGGTGGAACGTATGTGTTGAATTGATATTTACCTTACCTGAATTGGTAGAGTGGAGAATTTCACTCTATTAACCGAAAGCAACAGCGGTAACATCCCTTGGACGTATGTCGACAGAAAGCATTTACACATACATAATGTCATAATGATCAATGCTACTGGAGGAAGCATGCATTGTTGCTCATCAAGTTGTTCTTCCTGTCCGTTCGCCTGGTTTCCAAAGCATGTTTTTACATGACCTGAAAGAGAAAGAGCTATCAGAAATAAACATACCAAGCTTTTCTTAGTTATATCTACGGCAATATCCAGAACGAAGACTTCCTTATACACAGATTGGCACTCCTCCAAGCAGCCGCTAAATATGATATTGCTGATTTAAAAGACGCGTGCCACTTGAGTCTTCTAGACGACATCGAGACAAAAAAAAATGTTCTGGAAAGGCTACATAATGCTTATCTCTATCAGTTACCTGAACTGAAGGCTAGCTGCATGAGGGCATCTTTTTTTCAAAAAGGAATTTGATGAATTCTTTTTCACCTAGTTTGCTTTTGATTCGTTTTCACTTATTTTGTTTTTGAAAAAAAGTAGAATTGAATCGACTTGGCAAACAATTAAAGGATGAAAGAAGAAGGACGACGACAACAACAAAATAAAATTTCCAAGCAGCGAAGACTTACGATTCGATGAATAGCACCATCACCATCGACCATCGTCTTCTTCATCTGAGATTCTTTTTCGCATAGTATATAATTTGAAGAGTGGGAAACTTTTGTTCATTAAAGAATCTGATGAATTATTTTTCACTTATTTTGTTTTTGAATGCTTAAAAAGAAGGTGATCTTGAACTGATTCGTTTGTTACAAGACAAGGAGCTGAATCCTAACTTTGATGTGATGTTCAAGGACAAGAACTTGGATTCAACCAAATTGGCACTAATTCAGAGGAGTGGTGTGGATCCTGGATGGAGATGGTGATCACCACGATCGAAAAAACTTATTATCAGTGACTCATAACAGTAATGAAATGACTTAACCTGTCCAGAAAGCTTGTTCTGCACCATATGTAGCGGGCACACAAGAGAGAGCATGGGGACTCTTTAGTCCTGTCTCTATGAATGAAACCATCACAATAACAAATTATACATAGTCATCGTCAACAGGTACGTTGTTCCATCCTCTAATTCTAGTCAGTTGAAGAAGGCATAAAAGAATCTTGAATGAAGTGAAATGGAAGAAGAAATTCTAAGTAAAATATTATACTGACAATGTATAAAAAATAAATACAAGAGTGAATAGAGAGCCGCAGTAATACAATACTAAACGTAGATGCCGTTAATGGGGAAAATAAGTTTTGCAAAAAGGATAGTAAACAAAATCACCCACCAAAAGGAGCGTTCTGAATCTGGCCAGTTACCAATCCCAAATCCCTGGAAAGCAGAGAGGAAACCAAAGAATAAGGTGGCAAGAGCGTGTTTGGTGTCCATAGGAGAATTGAGCTGGAATATGGCGATCCCAAAGGCAAACATGGAGCACACGTAAATCAAGACATGGATGGTGGAGTAATAGTAAGGGAAATAAAACATAGATGCAATAAGAATAACAGAGTAGGCCGCTCGTGTAGCAGGTAGAGGCGGCTCTTCTTCCTTGTAGATGCGAATATTGCTGCACAAGTGCGAAATGAGTAGCAACGCCACGTACAAGGTTGTGGCACCGATGGCGGCATACCATAACGAACACGACGTGGAAGGACAGAGGCTGTAGAGTGATATGGAGATTGCAAATACGGACAACATGGCTAATACTTTCCACATCCTCTCAATACTCATCATCCCTCTCTCTTTTGTTGTTGTTGTTGTTGTTGTTGTTGTGATAGGAGAAATAGGGTTTTTGTGCAGTCTGCACTACCAAATCCCCTAATTATTTTTGTTCATTTATCAATTATCACATCACCAATTATATTATTTTTTAAATATAGATATATCTATACTATTAATTATCAAAAAAAACGTAACTTCCTCAAATTTTTTCTATTTTTAGATATTTGGTTTACTTCATACAAAAGAAAGTGTTCCTACTATAGGGCTATACAAAATGTTCTTCTCGTTCTATGCCCATTCAAAAGGGCTAAGCAAATCACCAACTCATACTATTGGGCCGGTTAAAGTGGCAATTGGTACGATCGGGCCGGGCTAAACGCCATCTCCAAGTCTCGGGTAGGGCCCAACCGCCATGTCCAGCTCTGTTGTTGGATGGTGCAAGCGCCGGGACTGGTTGAATCGCCGGGACGGGATTGCCGATGCGCACAATGACTAGTGCCCAAGATCGTCGGTGATTTCGTAGATAACACGGAGGGACAAGAGGTAGAGAAAGAAGAAAACTGAAGCCATGGCAATGTACACATCTTTTTCACCCACTAGCTTTTTTCCTAGCCAGTGGAAGAAGGTGAAGGAAACCACAGCACTAACGCCCTTAATCAGAGCAAATCCCCAATCACCCAATCTGGCCATCAACCTTTGACGTACTCTAATGATCACTGTTCTTGGACCCATGATCAAAACCAGGCAAACAAGATAGATGTCAAGATAGTAACTTCCTTCTTCTTCCAGATGGTTTTTCAAATAGTTTGAGCACAGAAGCAAACCCCCTGAAACAATCAGAAATGCCAAACACTGAAACTTTGGATAGTATGCACGGATTTTTGTGATGATAGAAGCGGGATTGAGGTTCAAAGCGAAGGGTTCCCTAGGAACTCCGGCCATTTTTATTAGGAGAAGACTCTTAAGTTTTGTGGAAGAAAGAAGGGAGCAAGAAGCAAGAAAAGCAGAGGAAGAAGAAGAAGAGAAGATGTTCGAGTAAAAATAAAGAAGAGGGAAACAAAATAGTATTTATACAAATGCGTCACCGTTTTGTTCCTTTACGCTGTACCAGTTTATTTCGGGTCAATAACGCCTAATTTTCCTAGAACCGAGGTTTTACCGAATCGGTTTATTATTAAAAAAAGGGAACCGGCATTGCGGCACATAATAATGATTCGGGTCGGATCCTATTGAGAGTCGGGGATTCCACAAAACGCCTCTTTCACAAGAGCAGCAGAGTGGGGAACTCACCACACCAGACCAGACACCATCTCTCTTCTCTCGTTCGCCAAGTTTTAATCTTTTGTTGATAGAGAGCATAAACCTAGATTCCACTTTCGCTTGATCCACCGATTTTACCAAATTCATACATAGCTGCTCGCTCGATATGGCTGGTGGGCAAGTTGAGAAGCGAGTCAAATACAAGAGCTCTGTCAAGGATCCAGGAACTTCTGGATTTCTCAGAATTGTATGATTATTTTACCAACACCTTCCTTCCCGTTCGCTCTCTCTCTTATTTGAGTTTGATTATCTCTAATCGTCTTTACCTGTTTCTTTTTCAATTCGCAGAAAGAAGCGATGTTGCTCTTCGTCCCTGATGATCCCAAATCGGATTCAAAGCTCAAAGTGCAGACTCAGAACATCAAAAGTATGTCTTACCCTTCGAGCACCTTTATGTTGCCCATATAGATTTCGTTATTATGATGCCTGCACACTTGTTATCAGATTTTCACTGTGTTTCTTCTATTTCTCAGGTCAAAAATATACCAAAGAAGGATCACAGAAACCTGCTTGGCTCAATCTGACAAACAAGCAGGTCTTATCTTGGCATTTTCGCTATTGAAGATATTTAGATATGTGCATTTTGAAGCTCAGTGTTCATTTGAGGTTTCCTTATCTTTGATTATAGGGAAGGAGTCATATCTTTGAGTTTGGAAATTATCCCGATATGCATGCTTGCCGTGATTTCATCAGTAAGCTCCATCTACCTTGGTTTGCTTTTATTGATTGGCAACTACTTCTCTTGTTTCTTTCACGATGTTTCTGTAACCTATTTTTTCAACTATAAAACAGCCAAAGCACTTGCTAAATGTGAAGAGGAGCCTAATAAACCAGCTGTCCCGGCATCTACTGAGCAACTTAGTATTAGAGAATTGGAGCTACGCTTCAAGCTTCTTAAAGAAAATAGGTATGTAACCAGAACATGAGGTTGCAAGTTTCTGTTTTCATTGGCTCATCAAGTTCCTTCTAATGTGAGTAACATACATGATATAAAGTGAGCTGCAGAGATTGCATAAGCAATTCGTTGAAAGTAAAGTCTTGACAGAAGATGAATTCTGGGCTACAAGGAAGGTTAGTTCTTTGTGTTTTCCTTGCTTTTTTTTTTTTATAAAAAATTTCTTCTTCTCTTCATTTCGTCGTAGTTACTGACTTTATTCTGATTGCAGAAATTACTTGGTAAAGATTCCATCCGAAAGTCAAAACAGCAGCTCGGGCTTAAGAGCATGATGGTTTCTGGCATCAAACCATCTACTGATGGACGGGTATGGTATAATTTTCTCAGATCCTTCCTGGCAGTTACTAAAACCTCTTTGGTTACCATGTTCATGTACATGCTTTTGTAGGAAAGAAACAATGCACCTATATAAGCATACACTGATGTTTTCGGCTTAATTACATTTATTTGTTGATATATATCTACTATCACCTGACATCTCTGCTGGTTTACCAACCACTTTCTTCATTTTTCTTTTTTCAGACTAATAGAGTGACGTTTAACTTGACTCCGGAGATAATTTTTCAGGTGAGCTCTTTCGTTCACTATGTTTTTCAATTTTGTAAGTGCTCTATTAGTTTCTAAATCCAAATCCAAGTTGGATCCGCAAAGGTCTACATCATAAATTTTTAATATTTTATGGAGCTGAAGTCACAGGTGGTGATATATTGGGTCAGAAATCCATTGATAGGTGTTCAGGTTGCATCATGTGCTTTAACTTACAGAGCCCCATGTGAGACTGTACGTGGGGAATATGAAATTTTGTAACAGCCTTTCTGCCAACTGATAGTGTGTGCTTGCTTAGCCAGTAAATCCATTCCAAGTATACTGAATGTTTCTTCATTCCTGCTACAGTCCTTTCCCACTTATGTTTTCTTCATTACGCTTTCAGATTTTTGCTGAGAAGCCTGCTGTTAGGCAGGCATTCATCAGTTATGTTCCAAGTAAGGTAACAAAGACTAGCACACCTTGACAATCTTTTTTAAAATGTTTAATCTTCAAATACGACGAATATTAACTGCCTTTGCTAATTATTTGTCTATGCTAGATGACAGAAAAAGACTTCTGGACAAAATATTTTAGAGCAGAATATCTTTACAGCACCAAAAATACAGCAGTAGCTGCCGCAGAAGCTGCTGAGGATGAGGAACTCGCTGTCTTTCTGAAGCCTGATGAGATATTGGCTCGGGAAACTCGTCAAAAGGTTAGTTTTCTTCTATGGTATAATCGTTTTCCATGTATTTTGTTTGAAAATAAATTATTTGTGGCATATCTATCTGATTTGAATGTTATTTCTGTAGATTAGACGGGTTGATCCAACTCTTGACATGGAGGCTGATGAGGGAGACGACTACACTCATCTTATGGTAAGTCAACTACCACTGCATGCTAAAGGTTTGGATAATTTCCAAATAGCACATCAATGGTTGTTGAAAGAAATTTTCAATGCTCAGTTAATGCTTTCAGATTAACACAAATAGAAAAGTCATTTGCGGTGTTTATAGTGTTGGTGTTTACGTATTGTCTATGTCCCTAGTAGAAATAGTATGGGAAGAGCTGGGATAAGACTAATGGTGTTAAGAATGAAACTCGTAACAAAATGTGTCACATGTTTTGTTTTCTAGAATTCTCAGGGAACCTGATTTACATTGTTAAATCAAGTGATTTAGTTTTTTTCAGATAATTCCGAATAGGTGCTTTTTCTTATCCACATGACCACTACTCTTATATTAGCATGTTTTTGAAGGAGCTTAAAACTGATATATAGAAAACATTAATCTTAATATTGACATTTTGCTCTCTGTATGCGGTTGAAAGGTTATTTACTATATACTGTATCATATCATCTCATATTGTTCTTCACTTTCCCGTAACACAGGACCACGGGATCCAGCGTGATGGAACCAGGGATGTTGTTGAACCACAGAATGAGCAGTTTAAACGATCACTTTTGCAAGATCTTAATCGTCATGCTGCTGTTGTATTGGAAGGCAGAAGCATTGGTAAACACCTCTAAGCACGTCATTTGAATATTTTCATCTGAACATTATATAACGTTAGACAGTTGACGAAGTGTAAATTTTTATGTTGGCCTTTCTGAATTTAGTTCTTGGTGGTAAATATACAATAATATTCCTTTAAATTGAAAACCAGATGTTGATTCAGAAGATACGAGGATTGTTGCAGAGGCTCTCACACGGGTTAAACAAGGTTTGATGTTTCACTCTGCTATGTTTTTTTTTGGTTTTTCCCTGTGCTTATCAATGGCAATGCCACTCTTTAAATTCATCTGACCTTGCTATTGATATTTTACCCCTGTTAGTAAGCAAAGCTGATGGCGAAACCGGCAAGGACGCTAATCAGGAGAGATTGGAGAGGATGTCCCGGGTAGCAGGAATGGAGGATCTTCAAGCACCACAAAACTTCCCGCTAGCCCCGCTTTCTATCAAGGTTTGGCTTTCTGCCAATATAAGGTTTTCACAATTGATGATGGATGCTGTGTTAATCCCCTTAGCTTTTCTTGTTTGGAATCAGGATCCTCGTGATTACTTTGAATCTCAACAAGGAAACGTTCTCAATGCACCCAGAGGAACAAAGGGATTGAAGAGAAATGTCCATGAAGCTTTTGGATTACTAAAAGAATCCATTGTGGAGATCAGAGCTAGAGGATTAAGTGATCCGTTAATTAAGCCTGAAGTTTCCTTCGAGGTGCTATCTATCCCATAATAAAATATGTGCTGACTAAAGAAACCATAATTTTTTGCTTTGTTGCCTGAGCTAAAAATTGCTGACCCTATTCAGGTTTTCAGTTCGTTAACCCGAACTATCTCAACTGCCAAAAATATTATTGGGAAGAACCCACGAGAGAGCTTTCTAGACAGACTACCAAAGTCCACTAAGGATGAAGTTCTACACGTAAGTCCGACATTTTTCAGTATCCTAAGTGACAAGAAGCTCTATATGTACTGATTAGTGAAGATTGGGTAGTAATGCTATGGATAAGAGGACTTTCTTCTTTCATCTACAGCATTGGACATCAATACAAGAATTACTGAGACATTTTTGGTCATCTTATCCTATAACAACCACATATCTTCATACCAAGGTAATTCATTGTAATTTTCAAATATCCCAAATTCCAGAGTTTGCATTCCTAGGCTTTCTCGTGGAACATTCAATCTTATTATACACCAAGAGCAAGTTATTATACCGAATCTTTTTTGTGGGTTAGTATGATGTTATATTATTATGCAGGTTGGTAAACTTAAGGATGCAATGTCCAATACTTATTCAAAACTCGAGGTAAGCTTTGAATTTCTTCATCTTTTGACAGAATAAGCAAATGGGAGTAAATCTGTTAGAAGAGTACAGTTGCTAATCTCTCCATACCAATGCAATTTCGAAAATGAAATTTGAGTAGATTAAATTGATGCAGTATTTTACTCGAATCTAATTGTATATGGTCCACTTTACGGTTTCCTTACTACTAAACTCGATGTAACTCAGGCAATGAAAGAGTCGGTGCAATCTGATCTCCGCCATCAGATTTCTCTGCTGGTTCGTCCAATGCAACAGGTTAGCTTCTTCCAATATGTACAGAAAGAGTTGTATTACCATGTCTCTGTTAAGTCTTATATATCCCCACTCATATTGCATCTATATCCAGTTTATACAAACTAAAGCAAGCATTGCATTGTTAAACGATTTTCTTTGCCAGGCTCTTGACGCTGCGTTCCAACACTACGAAGCAGATCTGCAGAGAAGAACAGCTAAGAGCAGCGGCGGCGAAAGACCAAACGGGTATGTATAGAAGACCAAAGAAAATCTCTGAAAGATCTAAATTGTTTAATCAGCGGTTAGTTGGTGTTTTTTGAGATTTCATTTGTCTGCTTTTTGTCTGACCATTGAGATACAAAAAAGTCGTTTACATAGTATCTTTTTTGTGTTGTCAATGAGTCGTTTTTATTGTTAGGAGACGATTTTTGTGTTGTCAATGAGTCGTTTTTATTGTTAGGAGACGAACGAGTGAACATTACAAACGATCATAAAAAGATAAAAATCCAAACATTGAAAACAATAGTATTATTTTACATGAGAGAGAAAAAAAAACCCAAAAATTAGAGCATTTGAGATGGCTATCAAGCTATTTAGGATCATCACTCGCGACTCGCGAGCAGAGTCATTGGCGTCAACAATAGCCACCACCTCCTGGTGAACCAGTTCAATGAAAATCTATCATTCTAATGTTTTTTGTCGATTGAATAGAAAACACTTATATTTCATGACTTTCTATCTGCTCGTGCAAGAGAGATGCATGCACTTTAATTATGACCTCACACTTGAGTCACATTTTAGCTCCATCGCTCCATGTCCACCATGCAAGAGTAAGACATCAGTTGAGCGGTTCAAGACAAACGAATCTTCTGTTTTTGTTTCATCAGTAGTTTGATGTTTCTGAGATATTTGTTTTGTCTAAGTAATTTGATGTCTTGTATATAACGCGGATGCGAAGCTTTGCACTTGCGAAAAAAACAAAGATGAACGACCGACTAAACGATTTATTGGTGTTTTTTTTGTAGTTTTGTAGATAAAATTCCCCAAAGGGACTTAAGCCACTTAGTTAATTAGCTTTAGTGGGTTTAATTAAGGTCAAGGGTGTTGTTACAACTGTATGTTTACAATGGGAGAATAGTTGAGAAAGACTTCCGTTTAAATAAATTTCAAAAGGGATATGAAAATTACCAAAATCACACGAACCAAACAATCCAAATTAGAAAGATAAAAAAAAAAAAACTAATTAAAGACAAAATCTAGCTAAGAGTGAGAAAGACACAAGACGCAGAGTTGAATTAATTCGTGCATGTATGCCTTCTCAGCTAAAATCTGTTATGGAGGAGCTATGAAACCGTAAGAGCGGCGAGTACCACCATAGCAGCCGAATCTCAGACCACAATCTAGATGAACAATCTCGTGGATCTTGTGTAATCCAGTTTTGAAGACACCAAAACCATAGGCCAAGCCTATAGCGATCACCACCAAAGCCAAGCACGTGCATAACATGCAAACCCTTCCACAACACATCTTTCTTAATTCTTTCTACGTTGATTACAATCTTCGATCGATCGTTACGTACGTAGCTCTCTATTCTAACTTGTGAGGTGGTTTGGATAATGTTTTTTAAAGGCTATATATATAGAGGGGTTTTTATTTATTTATTTATTAGAGTTTGTTGGTTCTAATGAGAATGTGGGAGAGAAACGTGGGGAGAGAGGCATCGAAGTTAGAAAAAAAAAGATTGGTGCGTGGACGTTTTTATCGATCTGTTGTTTTCTGCTTTAAAGTTAACCAATATATCCAACAACTTTGGTGATGGTCCACTTCTAGATCGTGAATTTTTCAATTACAAATATTATTTTGTCATAAATTTTCTAGTTCATGTGTTTGAGCTCAACCAATATCATAGCTATGCCATTGCCTTATCAAAGTTCAAACTCACAGAAGAATAAATGTTGTATAGCATAATATAAAAAATAGAAATTCAATGATAAATAATAATTTGAATTCGATGATTAACTTTTACTAATTGCTGGTCATCTTGACATAAAAAAAAAAAAAAAAAAAAAAAAAAAAAAAAAAAATTCAAGTTCCACAAGTAAAGGAAAGGGAAAAGAGATAACTCTCTTTATCTATTCTATCACACTTTCATTCTGGTTCTGAATGGACAGTTACATTTCCTCCACCAGAAAAATCTTTTAGAGTCTAGAGTTAGAGATATAATTCGGGTGTTACATATATATACATAAACTCATTTATTAGAGATGATTCGGTTTTCATCAAGCAAAGATGGATGGCCCCAAGGCCTTTGGGTTTATTTTACTTTGGCTCGTTTGAGCTTCTTTTCGTTGCCCTTTTCCTATATATATTCTCCTCCAAAAGGTCCTAATGAATGGATTGGGGAGGCATTCTTTGTGTTGAAGTTATATACTCTATTTGCGAGACACAGGGATCGATATATATTGGTAATAGATCATGTGCAGCGTAGAACAAACCGTCCAATGGTCGTGCATGAGCATGAGCATGTGGTGGGCTCTGTTCCAGTTCCTGTCCCGCGCCGCTCTATTTGATAATTAATGATCACTGTCAATAATTCACTACTAGTAGACAGTATTACATCTTTTCGCATGCAAATATATTTTATTTATTTTTTCCTTTTTGTTAAAAGGATAGTAGCTATTATTCACCCAAGTAAATTATTGTTTCCACTTTAGCTTTCACTATAAAACGCATATTATCTTCGATTATAAACATTCCAAAATGTTCGGTTCATATCATTTTCGATTTTTATATTTTGAAGGTGGAGAATCTTTTATATTTAACAAATCACAAGCATTCTAAATTAGGTTATATTTTATATATGTCTTCTTTTAGTTCTTTTTTAATTACTGCAATTTCAATGACTTTTAATTTGGTCATCTGCAATTGACAATATAATTGGGATTTCCATTAGAAGATTGAGCTTTAGTACTGTATTTCCATGGTTAACCAAAATATGATTGAACATATAAGTAAACATAATATGATAATTAATAACATCATGTTCGACCCCGATCAACACAGTCAAGAATCATATCCGAGTTATCTCAAAATGGTCAGCATTTACAATCACGTCCACGTAAGCTACATATGACTTTTTTTTTTTTTTTGTCTTCTTATTATGAAAAGTAACAGGCTACATATGATTATATGATTTTTTCCTTTCTGAAATGTGTTTCGGATTATGCCATAAAATTGTCTAATCTCTAACGTTATATTCTCAAATCAAAACATTGGTTACAAAAAATAGAAATTATAGTATTTTACCACCATATGAGCGTATATCTTATTATACTATACTATATATAGTAGATTTTGCATTTTCGTGTTCACTAGATATGAGCACTGTTACACGTCATCGGTAACGTTCTATAAATACCCTTCTGGCTTCTTGTCTTGTCCAACTTATTTTATATACTCACTCTCGAGTGTAGCGTGAGTCTCGAGGTTTCTTTCTTTTTTTCCTTACAAGGAAGTAAGACGATGACCGTTGGTGCCGGAATCAGCGTCACCGGCGACTCCGATCTGGTGGTGCTAGGTAACCGTGTTCTTCGCGGCGTTCCAGAATATGTTTTAGTTACTCCAGCTTCAGGAAACTCGTTAATCGGCGGCGCGTTCGTCGGAGTCACGTCGGATCAAACAGGAAGCCACCGTGTCTTCTCCTTAGGCAAACTCGAGTACTGTTTCAATCATTTTCCTCCTATACTTCTTTTGTTGAATGTCACATTTAATTTGTTGAATTACTTGACGCTTAGGGTATTAATGTCTTGTATTCGATATATGATTTTTTCTTTTCTTGGCAGAGGCTTGAGGTTTATGTGTGTCTTCCGGTTTAAACTATGGTGGATGACTCAAAGAATGGGTACTAATGGAAAAGAGATTCCTTGCGAGACTCAGTTTCTAATCGTAGAAGCAAACCAAGGATCTGATCTAGGAGCAGAAGGACAATCAGCTTCCTCGTACGTTGTATTCTTGCCTATTCTCGAAGGAGACTTCAGGGCTGTTCTGCAAGGGAACGAGGCTAATGAGCTAGAGATTTGCCTTGAAAGCGGTAAGTAATCCACTTAGTAATTTCACACGGCTATGGCTAGATTTGAGTTGGAACATTTTTGTCAGATTATATATCTCTTGAGATTTATATGGTTTGTTCTGTATGGTCTAGGTGATCCAAGTGTTGACCAATTTGAAGGGAATCATTTAGTTTTTGTGGCTGCTGGCTCCGACCCTTTTGATGTCATTACCAAAGCTGTCAAGTATGTAATGTTTCTTAACTCAAATTATTTGATTTTTTTTTTCTATCCAAAAGGTTAGTGTTAAGAATCTTTGTACTTCCATGGTTTATGCTTTAGGGCTGTTGAACAACATCTTCAGACGTTTTCACACCGGGAGAGAAAGAAAGTAAGGAAACTTGTCTTCACTAAATTTGTCTCATACTTTTCCTTTTACCCAAAGTTGATTCTCAAATGTCCCCTGTTTTGAGTGGTGTTTAGATGCCAGATATGTTAAACTGGTTTGGTTGGTGCACTTGGGATGCATTCTATACCAATGTAACAGCCAAAGACGTCAAGGAAGGTCTTGAGAGGTACTCCTGATCAGTCTTTAATTACTCTTGAAGATGGCTTTACCGTTTAGACTGTGAACTTAACCAAAGCTGTAATTATTATTGTCTGTAGCCTCAAAGCTGGTAGGGTTTCCCCAAAATTTGTCATAATTGATGATGGTTGGCAATCTGTTGGCATGGATGAGACTAGTGTAGAATTTAACGCTGATAATTCTGCCAAGTAAGTAATTATGCTCTCCATTTACAAGTATACAATCAGCACCTGTGACTGGTTTAGTTATTGCAAACATGTCTTGTAGTTTTGTCATGATCTAGCTAATAGCCACTCTGTTTCTATCCTTTGTGCTTCCTCCAGTTTTGCAAACCGGTTAACTCACATCAAGGAGAACCACAAGTTTCAAAAGGATGGCAAAGAGGGCCACCGGGAGGACGACCCTGCATTGAGTCTTGGACATGTTATCACAGACATTAAGAGTAACAATTCACTCAAATATGTTTATGTTTGGCATGCAATAACAGGATACTGGGGAGGAGTCAAACCAGGCGTTGCTGGTATGGAACACTACGAATCAAAGGTTGCCTATCCAGTTTCCTCACCAGGAGTTATGTCCAACGAGAACTGTGGATGTCTAGAAAGCATAACTAAGAATGGACTCGGTTTGGTGAATCCTGAGAGAGTCTTTAGCTTCTATAACGACCTTCATTCGTATCTTGCATCCGTTGGGATCGATGGTGTCAAGGTAGACGTCCAAAACATTCTGGAAACTCTTGGGGCAGGACATGGCGGTCGCGTCAAACTTGCAAAGAAGTATCACCAGGCTTTGGAAGCTTCCATTTCAAGAAACTTCCCTGACAATGGTATCATCTCTTGCATGAGTCATAACACTGATGGTCTCTACAGGTGAGCATCTGGACCTGCAAATTTTGTTCTCACAGACTTTATCCATAACCATTACAGTCCCTTATGATTTCTTCTTATAATGGTACTTATAGCGCAAAAAAGACGGCTGTTATAAGGGCATCAGACGATTTCTGGCCTAGAGATCCAGCATCGCACACAATCCACATTGCTTCTGTTGCATATAACACACTGTTCCTTGGAGAGTTTATGCAGCCGGATTGGGACATGTTTCATGTAGGTTGAGTTGATTCAACAGATAACATTTAACAAACCTTTTTTGAACTTTGTGAATATATCTAATATATATATGTTTCTCAACTGCAGAGTTTGCATCCGATGGCTGAATATCATGCAGCAGCTCGCGCAGTTGGAGGATGTGCCATTTATGTCAGGTAATCATCATAAGGTTCAGTAGCATTTAACAAACAAACTTAGTAAAGTATTGAGCTGAAAGTAGTTAACTCTAGACATTTGAACTTGTTAATTATACAGCGACAAACCGGGACAACATGACTTCAACCTTTTAAGAAAGCTAGTACTGCGAGACGGTTCCATACTCAGAGCAAAGCTTCCGGGAAGACCAACCCGTGATTGCTTCTTCAGTGATCCAGTCAGAGACAATAGAAGGTATCTCTAATTTTTTCCCTTGCCCCGTAAAGAGAAGAAAGCGTAGATCTTTAACTAAAACTGTTGCTGATGATAACTTTGCAAGTCTAATGAAAATATGGAACTTGAACGAGTTCACTGGGGTGATGGGAGTCTTTAACTGCCAAGGAGCTGGATGGTGTAAGAAGGAGAAGAGATACTTAATCCATGACCAAGAACCTGGGACAATATCTGGTTATGTACGAACCAATGATGTTCATTACATCCATAAAGTAGCAGCCTTTGAGTGGACAGGCGATTCCATTGTCTATTCCCATCTCAGAGGTAGTTACACAAACTCAAAACATCAATCTAAACGAATACTCTGCCTTTTAATTTATTCACAAAAAAAATTCATACTTTTCTATAAAAAATGTGTATTTTGCGTTACCAGGAGAGTTAGTGTATCTCCCCAAAGATACATCATTACCAGTCACATTGAAGTCACGTGAGTACGAAGTCTTCACAGTGGTTCCGGTGAAGGAATTTTCAGATGGAACAAAGTTTGCTCCGGTGGGACTTATGGAGATGTTTAACTCTGGAGGAGCCATAGTGAGTTTAAGATACGATGATGATGGGACAAGATCTGTCGTTAGGATGAAACTTCGAGGGAGTGGTGTGGTTGGGGTTTATTACTCCTCGTCAGTTGGACCACGACCAAGAACTGTTGTTACTGTGGATTCAGAGGATGTGGAGTATGAGTATGAACCGGAATCGGGTTTGGTGACGTTTATTTTAGGAGTTCCAGAGAAAGAATTGTATCTTTGGGATGTGGTCATTCAACTGTGACTTTCGAGTATCGTACTCGGTGCTCTCATGATCTTTATTATGATTCATATTGATCTGCATGATGAATTGTGTATCAGTTAATGTATTCGTCTTTTTTGTTGTTGTTGTTGTAATAATAAGAAGATAAAAAAGACTTTATATTATAATAGTATCCACGTTGTAATCGAATCAGTAAAAATATGTAATGGGGATAACGTGATGCGGTCGATACTTCAATTTATTTATTCTGGACTATGGTAACACGTCATGTTTAGGGGATCCACTTACTTTAGCTTTCTTGATTCACTAATTCACAATTTTCACATTTATTTAAATTTCCATAACAATGATTAAAGAAAAGTGGTAAACAATTGGAAATTAGATAAAATGTCCAATTAAATGTCTAATTAAATTCAGTTAATTATATATTGTACTACTAGTTTATAATTTTTTTATAAGAGTTATTGAAGAAGAAAAAAAAAGAAATTGAAACATGTCTTGTCTTCTTCAACCGGTTGATAAAAAAAAATTAGTAAGCAGAAGAAGGAAAGTTCCTTCCTTGATCACGCATTCACGCTCTTTGCTGACCTGACATCTCTCTGGGAGATTCTTCTATTATCACTCAGATCACAAACAAATCTCTCTTCTACTGTTCCCTTGTTCCTATTACCAACCCCCCACGACGATGCATCAATACTTAGTAAACTAATTCGGCTGTCCTCTTCTCCAACTTATCGAAAGAAGAAGAAGAAGAAGAAGAATTCAAAGTTTCGTTTTTTACTTTGTTTTATTTGAATTGATTGCTGCAACTTGTTCAAGTCTTTCTTCTCTGACCCTTCGTTGACTTCCAGGTAAACCTTTCGGATCTCTTTAGTCTTTACCCGTTCCATCACCTTCGATGCGCTTTAGTTCACATCTTCATATTGTGGGCTATGGACTGATCTGATTTCTTTTGAAGATGTTAAGCTTCGATCCTCTTTCGTTTCATTAGCTGTTGAATGAGTAATGCTCTTTGATATTTTGATGAATTGTACTCCTAAAGTTTTCAGATTCAACTCTATGTCTGATACCTAAGCATTCCAAGGTTTTGGATTTTGCATCGTGATTCATCTTTCTAGAAGTTTCTCCATCTCCAGGTTCTCGAAGAAGACCACATTGTAGTGTATCCTCGTTTTCATGTTTTGTTACCGCAAGTCTATATATGGGTTGTTGTAAGGTGCCGGCTCTTATTCAGGCCCAGGTAGAAGTAAGTTATAGTTCACCATCGATCACGTCTTGTCTCTGTTATATGGCTCCTCATTGTCAGCTTAATGGAAAAGATTACAACTTTGTACAGATGGGATTGGTTAATGATGTTGAGCACAAAAGCCTTTTCAGACGAGAAACTGATTCCCCACAAAGAAAAGCAGCTTCCTTGATGGAACAAGGATCACTTTCTCCAAGTTTTCGAGAACGTGCAACTAAAACACCTAACAACAGTGTGCTCAAGAGCTTCAAGATCGTTATTTTGTCCAATAAACTCAATCTTTTGTTGCCTTTCGGTCCTCTAGCTATACTACTCCACTACTTGACAGATAATAAGGTGAGCAGTTATAGTTTCGGCTACTATTCTTAGAAGTTTCATTTCTTCTGGTTATGTTATGTCTCAAGAAATGATTCTTCTGGCTCAGGGCTGGATCTTCTTACTGAGCTTAGTAGGCATCACACCATTAGCTGAACGTCTCGGATATGCCACTGAGTAAGCTGTTGCTCGCACTTGTAATTCTTGAGTTACCATGTTATCATTCTATCAGCACGACTTATCTACAAGTAACCATTTATTTTGGTGACAGGCAATTAGCTTGTTACACGGGTTCAACTGGTATGACTTTTGTTTTTTATGATAGCCATTCTATTTCGGGTTCTCATCGATTTCTCCTGATATTTTTTTGACGTGGTATACCAATTTAACAGTTGGAGGCCTCCTAAATGCTACATTTGGAAACGTGACAGAGCTGATCATATCAATTTTCGCTCTGAAAACTGGAATGATACGCGTTGTACAGCTGACACTGCTCGGCTCGATCCTTTCTAACATGTTGCTTGTACTTGGCTGCGCCTTTTTTTGTGGTGGGCTTGTATTTTCCCAGAAAGAGCAAGTCTTTGACAAAGTAGGCATATCATTCACCTATTCTCTTCTTTCTGTTCAATGTATTTGTTCATATGGTTCTGTAATCTTTACCATGTTGCTGAGCTTCTCTATTCTGTAATGCCAGGGAAACGCCGTTGTGAATTCAGGATTGCTTTTGATGGCTGTCATGGGGCTACTCTTCCCCGCAGTTCTTCATTACACGCACAGTGAGGTTCATGCTGGGTCATCAGAGCTTGCTCTCTCAAGATTCAGCAGTTGCATAATGCTCGTTGCCTATGCTGCTTACCTCTTTTTCCAGTTAAAGAGGCAGCCGAGTTCTTATACTGCTCTTATCGAGGTTTGTTTCCTTTGACCTGTGATGACATTTTCTTTTTAATCGCATAAGCCAGGAAACAATAGATTAAGATAACTACAGATACAAATATTGTTTCGTTCAAGTTAAACCAGCTTCATCATTTGATCATGACTACAGATGATTCTGGCCAATTTTACGGGTTCTGTCCAATTTCTTTTTTATAAATCGATGGCCAATAAACTAAGTGGTTCCACCTCTTTCTACTACTTGGACTTATCTCTGTTGTTTGGTAAACACTGTAAATTATAGGAAACAAGCCAGAACGAAGAATCTTCAGACGATGATGAAGATCCCGAGATCTCCAAGTGGGAAGCTATCATATGGCTTTCAATCTTGACAGCTTGGGTCTCTCTTCTTTCCGGCTATCTTGTTGATGCCATAGAGGTAAATAGTTACCTTTTTTTTTTGTATTTCATTATTTCTTATGAAGATCTTACAATATTAACTTGACATGTTATTCATTTCCATATGATCAGGACAACATTGCAATGCTACATTTTGAGCTTGGCTTATGGTTTTGAATTTTTGTATTTCAATCTGTGATAGGGTGCTTCAGTATCATGGAAGATACCAATCTCTTTTATCAGTGTCATCTTGCTTCCTATAGTTGGGAATGCGGCCGAGCATGCAGGTGCTATTATGTTTGCCATGAAAGACAAGCTGGTACTCAGACAAATTCTCTTGTATTTTGATGTCTATGATTCTCTTCTTTAGGTTCTTAACTATTTATTCCCCTCTGCAGGACCTGTCTTTGGGAGTGGCTATTGGATCCTCCATTCAGATTTCTATGTTTGCGGTATGTATATGAAATTTGAACGTGGGTCTAGTACTGAACACTCTCTGATAGTTATCGGTTTTTGTCCATTGGATATAGGTTCCTTTCTGTGTGGTGATCGGATGGATGATGGGTGCACAAATGGACCTAAATTTCCAGCTATTTGAGACGGCTACACTGTTTATAACTGTGATCGTTGTAGCTTTCTTTCTCCAGGTGGGTTAATGTTGATGCTAATTATCAAAGCAAGCTTGAGTTTATCTGCATGAAGTTGTTAAAGGTCTCTGCTTGTTTGTTGCAATGCAGGAAGGGACATCAAATTACTTTAAAGGGTTGATGCTCATTCTTTGCTATTTGATAGTAGCTGCCAGTTTCTTCGTACACGAAGATCCTCATCAAGGTTAGTGTTGATTTGCTAGTTCTTCTCTTCATGATAATATCCAACAAGAAAACATGTCGTCTCATAGCCCTGCTGAAACGAGTTTTTGTGTTCTTATTTCTTGACAGATGATATATAAACCAAACAGAAAGAACACAATCTAATCTGTGAAGCAGTTTGTGTCAAAAAAACTAAAACCCTGATGATCTCAGGAACACACCATCTTACATGTACATTTGAGATTCTAGAGTTTGTTGCTTACACTTTGAAAAGTAGCCCCATTTTACGGTTTTTACCATCCCTTACATAGTGTATCTCTTCTTAAGGTTACAAGTCTGTAAAATCACCTTGATAACTATGATGGGAAGATTGGTACGTCTCTTCTTTCCCTAATGGGTGGCTATAATAAATTCAGAAGCAAATTGTAGAAGTTAAATTTTACGACTTAATCCGATATAACTCGCATCCTTTTTGAGATTAGCCAAATCTGAGATAGGTTTAACCTCGTCTTTGTTTTCCTTGTATGTTGAATTTGATATCCATACAAGATATCATGGTAAAAAATAAGATGACACTTACCTATAGTGTGAAGTCTTACTGAAACAATATTATGAGCCAGATTTGGCATAAGATAACAGAATTACTTCTGCAAAGATTGGATCTTGGATGGTTCGATCAAATAGCTCGATGAGCTCCAAATGGGATTTGCCATTTGTTCTGCATCTAATTATTAAAAAGTTAAAATGCTTTCCTGTCAATATTAATTTCCTTAAAAAAAAGAAAGAATTAGATTACGTTATATATATAAGAGAAAAAAACAACCTCAAGGATCAATATATAATCAAAAGGCATTCACCAAAACTAATATATGATCAAAAGACAACAACTTTAAATAAAAAAGAACAACAATGAAAGCCTTAATACTAAATATATTTAAATACGTTTTTCCATAAACAATCAAAAGAACACGAAGAAGCATTAGCGAACTTAAACAAAAAGGGCTGTACGGAACGACCATCACACCTATAGCAAACTGCTCGAGTGTTGTCACTGTTACGAATAACAGAAACCGTAACATTGCCTAGGTCGAAGGACGCGGGCTTCAAGAAGATTGGGTTCCCCAGTAAGCACTTTACATGAACTGTGACATTGCAATAGTCATTGCATGTATAGAACCACTCTTTTGCATCTAATATTGTCTCACATATTTCGCACCAATATTGAGCATTTGACGTTGTATCTTCTTCCCCGTAGCAAAGAGCGAGTGGATGCTTATCGTGCTTGTAGTGTGTCTTACTCGGTAAAGTAGCGCATTTTAGGCCCAAGAAAGACTTGCATTCCATACACTCTAGGTAAAATGGTGAACAATGGCTAGTCTTACACCCCATGCATTCCCCTTTTGTGTGATTGAAGAAGAGATCATGATGTGAATGGCTTCCATGGATAAAAGGATCCGGAAGGGAAGCACACCTTGCGTCTACTTGGAATTGGCAGCCTTGCTCCCTGCATATGTACACGAAACCATAACCAGATTGGTCACAACCACCGCATTTGAACATGCCTTCCACATATCGCGAATACCGGCCACCCCCTCCCTGGAGCTGCACAACCTTGAGTGGGTCAGGAGGAATTGGATGAAGTATAAGCTGGTGTTTGTGTATGGGATGGTCTTTTACACGAGGAAAGGACGCACATGCTTCGTGGAGAAGGAAGTTGCACTGCAAACAACCATAAAAAAGTTGAGACACTAAGATTGGGATGATGCATGCCTGACAGAACTTGTTTTCATCATCATCACAAGCTCCGTCGCTCATGTGGAGTCGTAGCTGATGGTCATGGCTGAAGTGTTGTATTGTCTCGTCATCAATCCTCTCGAATGGCTGGACGTCTTCATCGGGTTCTTCTGGAACTCCTTCAAGATCTTTTCCGTCCCATACTCTTTCGTCTACTGCACATCTGGAATGGACTGCATAGTGACATCCCTTATTGCAAGAAAACTGCCCATAGGTCACATCGATGGTACGGCGACAGACTCCACAACGGAATAATCCGGAAGGAAGAGAGGAAGAGAGAGATAAACGGTGCGGATGACGGGTGATTTTAATGACACGGGGTAAGTAGATACATGCCCTGTGAACTATGAAGTTACACGAGAGACAAGCATAGACGAGGTCATGGGTGTTTTCAAGAGACAAGCCACAAGCATCACATGGGGAAGGGATTCGTCTAGGGAAAATGGAAAGGGGATGCTCATGGCTCTTGGCATGAAAGATGGTGAAAGGTGGTGGGTTTCTAGTACAAGTCAGGTTTAGGCTGAAGTTGCAAGAAGAGCAGTGATAGTATACCTCTTGGAGATGCCTCCGGCAGCATTTGCATCTCAAATCGGATATCGAGATAGAGACATCATCGGATTCGGATGCATCAGGCTCTGTTTCGGAATCTGAGGGTTCCTCTTGCCATGAAGTGGGCAAGTGTTTCAAATCAGAAAAAGAAGAATCTGAGGAGAAGGTGAGCTTTAGAGGATGTTGAGCGTGAAAAGGATGTCTCATCTCAGGCGGGTACAAGTTGCAAACCTTGTGGAAACAGAGTTTACAAGTAGCACAGTAATAGCTCAGATCATCTCCGGAGCCGACGCCTCCACATGTATGGCAACTAGAGAAATAATGATATCTCTCTTGAAGGGCGTGAGGCCTAGTTGGATCCGATAAACGACATCTTGGTAAGAGATAACAATTCTTGTGGACATCGTAGTCGCAGGTATCACAATGGAGATGATACTTAGTGCGTTGTTTCTTGTATCTGCATATGAGGCATTTAGACATTCTTTGACCATATCTTCGAGAAAGGAAGTGCGTCGGCTGAGATGGATCAGACTCACGACAAATATGTGTAGCTCGAGAACTAAACTTCAATGTCTTTTCTTCCATTTAGTTTTTTTTTTTTTGTTTGTGAAATCTATTCTTTTACTGAAAGGAGTGGGTGATGAAGAAGCTCTAGATCTGCATATTTTCTTTATTAGCTTCCGTCCTATATTTATTGTAATTCGTTGCATCAGGCAAGACTTTGAATAATCATAGGATACACCATACTGTCAATGAAAGTGTTTAGTAATTTTTAAAGACCGACGAATTGTTTCACATTAATCAAAGACCAGTGGTCCAGTGGACGGTATTTTTAAAATGATTCTTGCTTTTTTAGATTGGACAAAGTCGTTACTGGATATACTCGTTTCAGACAAGGTACCTCTGTCACTTGCTAACTAGAATAGATGCATTACCTTATACAGTTATACTCCGCATCTTCAAGCTACGATAAGGTCAACTACATGCAGCAAGAGTGTCACTAGATATCTTGTAAAGTTGTAATAAAAGAAACATCAAACGAGAGAAGACATAACATATTAATCCTTGGGGGAGAGCCGGAGAGGTTTGTCTTCATGAGGTAAATATGTCTATTGCTCACCATATGGGAGATGAATATGAAATCTACGATCGAGATGACAAGTTCCAAAATATGGAAAGATCTCCAACCGTAGATCAATTCTTCATTTCCCAAATCGCAATACAACAGTTTATTTAAAGACCAACAAATTTGTTTACATTAATCAAAGACCAATGAAAATACTATTTAGATTGGACAAAGTCGTTTTTGGATTTACTAGTTTCAGTCCATTTTTCAGCTCTACTCCATAGAAACTTTATTTTGGACTAAATTTTCAATTTTCAATTTCTCAAACTATGAGGCCCAAAACCAAAACCTCGTGAAGAGATTAGAGAGTTCATCAACGCCCCAATCTCTAAGCCTATTAGTTTCGTTGTTTGTTTCATGCTCAACATATGTATTCATGATTTTAACTAAAACTATAAATTTTAATTTCAAACACAGTGTATTCAGATTTTTTTTCTTTTTTTGAAGAAAAAATTCATCGTTCTGTTTTATTTCAAACTATTCATCGTTTTTCGTACTCTTGTCAAATTTATGGTGTTCTGCTATCAACACAAAGACGATTAATAAGAAACTTAAAAAGTGTTAAAAAAATATAGTAACCTTCTTTAAAAAAAAAAAGAGACTATATGTTAAAAAAAATATAGTAACCTTTTTTCAAGGAAAAAAAAAAGGTTAATTGAAGAGATGATTCTGGTAATTGTTAATTTCGTACGTACGTTACCATCCCTTACATTGTGTACTACCCGTAGGGCTAGGTTAACAAATCTGTAAACTTACGTTGATAACTATGATGGGAAGATTGGAATGTTTGATATAATAAATTGAGAAGCCAATCTCAGATGTTAAATTTTACTGACTTAATACGGTGTAACTCACAATATTCTTGATGAGTTTAGCCAGCTCTGAGCTAGGTTTAATAATTAATCTCTTCTTTTTTTTCCCTTATCCCTTGGTATATAAGTCGCATTCTAGAGAAGTAATATATAGTGTTTGAAGCTGAATATTTTGACTTTGTTATCTAAAAACAAAAAAAAAATTGGGGACTATATAATATTGAGTGGTAAGAAACTAAGACATGGAAATTTCATTAAGAGCGAGTATTCGTGTTGTATAGCAATAGAGAGATATATAGACTCACTCCAAAACAAAGAGAAAGAGCCAAAGGTTGGTGACAAATACTAACATGAAACAAAACATCAAACATAAGCCAATCACGAGGACTACTATAGTTAATTTTGGTTAACAATATTCTTAAAGAACATCAACTCCATTATTATTATTCTGATCACTTGTTGAGATCAAATATTTATAGTAAAGAATGACATAGAAACGTCAAAAACATAATAATACCAAAAAAAAAAAAAGACTAGTTTTGTACTGCAAAAAAGGGGAATGGCAAGAAAGAGAAATGCAAGTGGTTTTGGGGAACGAAAGCAAAACGACGATGACGACAAGTTACTACACTGCGTCAATTGCAAAACGAAGGTATGAGCTGTGGCATGTCGTTCGTTTTCAATACCTCCAAAAAATATATAAACACTCTTATACATACGTACACGACAAAGTGGGGTTCATATATATATATGTATATAGGCAGAAAGAACTAAAACCACACGTCGTTTAGTCTGGTCCTTCTTCTTCAATATCTCTTTTGGTTCCACCAGTCAAGAAAATGTAATTCCTGTATAGTACCACCACCATGCACCATTCAGTTACTTAACCAATAGTTAATACAGTGAATTTTTTTCACATCCTTTTTTTTTTTTTTTCACTTTGCGTGGGACGTTTGTGTCTTTGTGCGAGTCCCATCTCTTGTCTGAAAAAAGAATAGTTCTCTAATACAGTTGCCACAACATTTTTACCAGCTCTAGTCTACTTTTAATGATTGATTAGTTACAGTTTTGACTTAGTACTACACTACTACTAGTCCATTTTCTCATGATGAATAAGTGTGTTTTAATTTAAATATAGTTCGACATTATCAACCGTCGTAAATAAATAAACAAAAACTACTATAATATTTTAAAAGTGGCATGTTCATCGATAGTAGCATAGCATTCACGGGAAGAAGAGAAGAGAAGAGTTGAAAAATTGAAAAGGTGAAAAGGAGAAGAAAGCATATATAGCATAGAGTTGACTCCATGGGTTAAAGAGACTGTGTCAGCCTTCTTCTCAAAGCGATCCAAAACCCCAACATGTAGTAGAAAAGTATTTTTTAAATACCACAAAAAATGTAGTGTTTTGGCAAAGGGTTAATTAATGAAAGAGTAATAGAATATTCACATTACAATTGACCTACTTACTTAGAATCTTAGCTTTAGAAGAAAAAAAATTGAACCTTTTCATCGTTTGTTTCGGTATTTTCTAATAGGTGGGTTTTTAAAATATAATATACATAACCAAAAGAGTGATGTTTTAAAAAAAAACTTTAAAAAATTGGTGTAGTAAATGACAAATATATAAAATGTTGCAGGATTAAATTAGGAAAGACAAATAAACAAACTTTTGGATGTAGATACCGAATAAACTGTTGTCAAGATATCGTATATTAGTAAAAAAATAACACTATATATATATATATGTAGTGAGAGACTCATGCATACTGAATAATCTTTTTGCGCATATTGAATAATCTCGTCTCGTGCTTAAATAATAAACACAAGACAGTGATAGTAAGAGTTAAAATTAGTATTTTTCTACTATGCAAAGAATAATTGAAACTATACAATTAAATTTGTCGGAATCATTGTTACATCAAGTTACGTTTGTAGGACCAGTATATATATATATGTTATCAACCCTCCAATTCTCCAGAGATAGAGAGAGTTTTGCACTTTTCAATTTTTGTTCTTTATAAACAAAGATCTGACATGGCGCATTTTACCTTAATATGTAAATACTACTTGTAAGGTTTTGGAATTCGAGAAAAAAAATATATATATATATATATATAGATATAGTGAGAAAAAAGAAATAAAGAAGATTGCTTGTGAATCAGGAAAAGCAAAAAAAAATCTCACACAAGTCTTTGAGAATATACAAAAAAATATGACAAAAAAAGTAGTATACGTTTACCGAAACTAGTAGTATTGTTTGAATATTGTTTCTTCATAAAGTAGTAACCACATGTGTCATGTGACATGTTATACAAAAATAAAATATTTTGACTATATGAACAAGAGTCATAGGTTATAACACCAATATTATATTTCAATAGCAAAACCTTCACTGTCAATATAATTGCGTCGTGAAAGGAAGCAAATTTTGTATGTAATAAGAAAATTTTGAATAATTAGTTATAATCAAACTCAACTAAATAAAAATGTGTAGGTATTTGGAAGAGAACAAGAAAAGATGAAAAATGTAAAAAAAAAGTAGTAGGAAGAGAGAGAGAGAGAGAGAGAGAGAGAGAGAGAGAGAGAGAGAGAGAGAGAGAGAGAGAGAGAGAGAGAGAGAGAGAGAGAGAGAGAGAGAGAGAGAGATGCTTTCTACACATATGGGG